TATCGTTGTCTTCGTATCGCGTTAGGATGCATGCACTCGACTCATACGATGAGTCTCGAAGTGTTGGCGGGCATGTTGCCACTATCGGATCGGTTTTCGGAATTGTCCCTCAGGCTCCTCACCCGTTGTGAAGTTATGAACCCACTGGTAATCGAAAACTTTGAGAAGCTTCTTGAGCTAAACCCTCAAACTCGTTTTATGTCATTGTACTACGTGTACATTAGGGTGTTTCATTTTGAAAAAAGTGATGAATTTTTGATAGGCCACCCTCCAGTTCGATTCATAGCCCCAAAATATGAACCTGTGCAAAAAATGGTAAAGATTGATGAAGGTTTAGAGGTCGCGCCAATGATTTGGATTTTGTATGGAGATTTTGGTGAATTAGTATGGGAAATTATTGATTTTCGTTTACATTGCTCTAACTTTGGTTGTAGTTGTCCAAACGTTGAAAAAAAAAAATATGTGGTTGTCATGACAATGATCAACAAGCCTGTTGTTGTTGCGATGAAATTGGCGTTGTTGCCTTGTACATATTCATCTGTCAATTTACCCTATTTTGCCATTTTTTCACATTTTTATAATTCTTGATACGCTGCAAAACTGAGCGTAGCAACTGTAGGCTTTTTGTTTATTGCCATAGCAATAACATACTAAATTTTTTCGACATTTGGACAAGTAGAAGCAAAGTTATAGCGATATAAGCGATTTTTTAAATTCTTCCATAGTAATTCCCATACAAATTTCAAATCATTGGCGCGACCTCTAAACCTTCATCAATCTTTACCAATTTTTGCACAGGTTCATATTTTGGGGCTATGAATCGAACTGGAGGGTGGCCCATCAGAAATTCATCACTTTTTTCAAAATGAAACACCCTAGTGTACATAACACAGGATGTCAGCCCTTCGCAGCATAATCCCTATCGTGTTTGCTTCTCCGACTTCGACAGTTCTGTTCATTTTGATTTATCCATGACGCAAGAGATTCGCGGAATCCCAGAGCATCATCGTTCCAAGATTGCTCCGTCAATTTTCGCTGCAAAGTTTGGCCAAGTTGATTCCGCAAGATCGTTTTTCACAGATGGATCACTAATAGAGGCGTCCGCAGGTTTTGGTATTTATAACGAATTTCATAGCGCCTCTCGAATGCTTCATGCTCCTTGTTCCGTATATGTTGCTGAACTGGCGGCAATACATTATACGCTAGAAACGATCGCCTCACTTGCACCAGATCATTATTTTATTTTTACGGATAGTCTCAGTTCTGTCGAGGCTATTCGCTCCATGAGGCCGGTAAAGCACTCCTCGTATTTTCTCATGAAAATACGAGAGCTTCTAAGTGCTTTATCTTTAAGATCTTTTGTCATCACCTTTGCATGGGTCCCATCTCATTGCTCGATTCCGGGCAATGAGAAGGCGGACTCGCTTGCAAAGGTGGGCGCTATGGAAGGCGATATTTACGATCGACAAATCGCCTACGACGAATTTTTCTTCATTTATCGTCAACAGTCACTTGCCAGCTGGCAAAATAAATGGAGTGAATGGAGTTTGGGACGATGGTTATATTCAATCATCCCTAAGGTGTCGAAGTGTCCTTGGTTCAAGGGGTTGGATGTGGGTCGAGACTTCATTCGTATGATGTCTCGCCTCATGTCCAATCACTACTCGTTAAACGCTCACTTGTTCCGTGTTGAGCTGGGGGACAGTAATCTCTGTGAATGTGGACAAGGTTACCAGGACGCAGATCACATTATTTGGTCATGTGCTGAGCACCGTGGAGTCAGATCCGAGTTGTACGATTCCCTTCGGGCTCGAGGTAGACAACCTAATGTTCCAGTTCGGGATATTTTGGCTAGACGCGATCTGGAGTTTATGCAACTCATATATGTTTTCTTGAAGAATATTAACCATAGATTGTAAGTTTGATTAACCTTGTGTTTAGTTTGTGTTTTGTATGTGTGTGTGTATTTTTTTTGTAGATTTGTTTCTGTAATAATTGTATAATTACAGAGTTGATATAACGTCGATAGGATTAAGTATATGTTTTAGAAATAGTGACATTTTTTAATCATAAATCATATTCCAAATCTCCTTTTCCCTCTCCCGATCCAAACAATTGTCATCCGCTAACCTCGAGAAGACCGCGAGTAATCGGTTCCAATCCTTTAATTTTAGATTTAAGACATTTATAATGTATAAAGAAAATGATAACTTGGCTCTGTAAAGTTTATTCGATTGAGCCTGTACAAATAAAGTAATTAACAACAAAAAATACTCATTTCAGCTAAAATAATGTTTTTCGGAATAATAAAACCAAAAGATGGTATGATGGCATGTTTTACTTGTAACTTACAAGAAGAGGTTACAAAGTATGCGTTTGAAACATAAAACCTGTAAATTTTGCTTTCTATAAGTCACAATCAGCGATTTTCTGATCGCTGAGTGAGTGAGTGAGTGAGTGAGTGTGTGAAAAATCGCTGATTGTGACTCTCATGAAGTGAAATAAACAGGTTTTAATGTGTCCTCTTCTTGTTCCTACCAATTCAAAATATGATCATGGCATCTAACAATTTCATAACTAAAAAAACATTGTTTTAGCTGAAATGAGAATTTGCAACCTTGACTGAAAGTGTTAGGAATAACGGTTGACCGGTCACTGAGATTCGACCAGCACCTTCAAGGGGTCGAAGAGAATGGTCGTAGCAGAAACAACTTAATTCGTACCATCTCCCGTCCCCACCGCTCCAACAACCGGGATGTTCGCTATCGGGTTGCCCAAGCCATCGTTGATAGCCGCCTCACGTACGGGCTGCAACTAACCTGTATTGCTACAGATAAAAATCTGCAAGTACACGCACCCGTGCACATCAACTACGTACGCATTATCTCTGACATCCTACCCTCGACGCCAGCAGATGCTGCCTGTGTAAAATTTGGTATCGTCCCTTTCCGGTATCGCATATACGCAGCCATCGTGAACAAAGCAACCGCATACTCAGCAAAAAACACCAGAACAGATAGAATCTGCCTTAACAACGAGGGAAACAGAGTCCTCCGTCTAGCCGCCGACGCAGAACTCCCACCAGTAGCCGAGAATCACTAGAATGAAGTCAAAAGTTGACCTTCAGCATCCAACATTGATAACCGAATCAAGGATAAATTCAGAGCCGAGGACAACTTTGCAGCGCTACGGAGAGCGGTAGCAGAGCTAATTTGGTCGTAGCCTTACCATGCGCACTGCTACACCGATGGATCACGATCGCTGCAGTCTGAAAGGGGATTTCTGGGAGCATCTCTCCGACCAATCTAAGTATACCCTCGCAATGCTCAGTTTTATGAGCCGAAGCAGGTGCGATTTCCTACGCGATTGCGGCAGTCACGAATCGACCTTATTCTCTCGGATTCCCACACTGCAATTAAAGCCCTCTCATCGGAAGTCGCGGTCCACCCCTGGATCCAGGGAATTGTTAAAAATTCACCTCGAAACACTACACTACCCGGAAACTGTGTGATCCCAAAGCGGACCTCTTAGCCGGGGATGGACAGTTTTCCACTACAGGACGTCAGGAGATGGATAACAAACACCATACGGAAAACAATAGAGACGAAATGGCCAGATCGTTCCTCATCAGCAAGGAAGCACCGAAAAATTTAAGGACCTCAAGAAGCTGCGCGACCTAAGAGTCTTTTCGTGACTCAGGACGGGACACTCCCTGATCTCGCGGGATTTCAGTGGTGCACCATTCCAGAAGACTTGCGGCCAGCATACAGGAAGTGCTAGGGGATGAGCTGACCACCCAGGCAGCAGTATTGGGCTTCCTGAAGGACGTGAAGCTATACTTCACCACACTGTTCTTGTTATCTGTCTTGTTCGGAACTTATTCGGATGGCACTAGTCTAGTAAATTACGTGTCCTTAGAATGTTTTTGTGTTCAGTTTCAAGTTTCTTTTAATTGCTCACTCTACACTTGATTTGACTCATTTATGTTGAAGTTCTTATTTACTTTATTAAGCAATTTTAAAACATTTACAGAAGAGATTTAAAATAATCATTAAACTATTTAAAATCGAAGACATCGTATTAAAAAGACTGGCAACTTTGCCAGAATCCAAATGACAAATACAATAGCGCTGTACTTGAGTGAGGTTGGAGTATCACATATAAAATACACAAACCTTTCTTCTGGGGTTGGAATATTTGCTGAAAAATTCGTTGACCCCTCTACCCGGTATATTGGATAAAATATGATGGATAAATGACGTAGTATTTTAGGGTGTCCAGTCATGTAAAAAATACGCTACAAGCGGGAGTGGGTTCAAAGTTGATACTTCATCAAACGTAAACAAAAGTTTAACGTTTGTTTACGTTTTGGTCCACCTCTCCCTTGTAGCGTATTTTTCACTACATGGCTGGTCACCCTACTAAAAATACCATAACCACAGACAAATAAACATAACAGTGGCAATTTGTTCATCAAACACGCATTTAACGGTCAATTTAAATGTTTTTAGTTTGTAGTACCGCCACCTGTGTCGCACATAGTCAATAACCCTTGTGTTTGAAGTTTACATACTTACGCTTTCTGTTCAGCCTACTACCCATCACAGTATACTCAACAGATGGCGGTAATGTTTTAGCGACGATGTTTTATATTGAAAAATATTCTCTATGTCTGTTTGTCTGTGCCCGAAAGATAACCCATATTATTGAACTATTTCACAAATGGTTTGGATGATACTCTGAACACGTCGTTAAGCAAAATAACCATACAAATTTTATTAGGGCACCCAAAAATGGTTGATTAGTTGGTTGTCTTTATTAAGGATATTTTCAGCCAAGTCATCCAAAAATGCTACGTCATTTATGCATCTTCCCTAACCGAAACTCCTGATCTGGTCAATGGTTTTTTGGTAAAACAAATCGTGGTTTATTTTAAGTATTGTTTGATGCGTTAATTGACACTCTTATTTGATATTGTACTTTTTCTACACTACCTGTAGCTTAGGAATGCGACACGACACTTCGGAGAATAATTGTGATCCCAGTCTGTATATTATGTCTCCGACACTTGGAAGTGGTAAAATCACATGGTCCGCATGCAGTCGCAATTATCTGAGCTCCTTTTTGAAGTACGTATATACTCTATAATCGATGTGTGGATTGATTGCAGGTATGCTGTAACATTATTTATATATTCCAGAACAACTCAAGCGATTTGCTTATTCGATCGAGGTCATTATGGACCAAGTTTAGACCATGCTGCCCAGGGCATGTTGCCCGGCGAACGTTTCGATGCAGACCAACAGTGTATGCTCAAGTATGGAAAGGACAGCATTCGATCTCAGACTCAAAACATTGCCGATATTTGTCGAGACTTGCACTGCCAGAGGGATCGATACACATGGACCTCGCATCCTGCACTAGAAGGGACTGCATGCGGAACACTTTTGGTAAATCATTTATCGCTTTGGATTTTTGGTAAAGTTTCGCGAATTTATAGTTTTCAATTTTAGTGGTGTCGAAGTGGGGTTTGTGTTTCGAAAATTCCAGGTCTTACGATTCAGTCCAGTGGGAAACACATAACTGCTTTTAAGACTATCGATAAGAAGGCATTTATTGAGGGGTTGAAGTTTGCTAGTTTGAAGCAAGACACCTCCAGGATATTGAATACCATTCCAACATGGGATGCTTGGGGAGAGCCAACCGAGTGTGAATCGGGCTGCTTATATGGCGAATCAGGACGCCTCAAAGAAGGCAGCGTGGGTTTGCGGCAGTATAGTAGAACTTGTCTAGATAAAAGGTAATGCATAATTTTTAGTTTAAGTTTATTACAGTTTACGTAATTTGCTTTAATTGATAGGAATAGTTGCGCTGGATCAAATAAAAAATATGAAACTTGCATAGCAAAACAGGTGATCATTCTATTTTAGGTCATAAATTGCCTTAATAACTAAATCGGCATTTTCAGTGTTACAACATCGCGCGAACCACCATACTAGAATTTGCCAATCAAATTTGCGACCGAGCCAAGGCGTTTGATTCCGATATATTGGGTTTAGGTCTGCAGAAAGTTGCCGATGATCCGGAAGATGCATGCAAAGTTTTCTGTGAAGCAAAATCTGGTGAACCAAAAACCAAAAGTTGGATCTTCCCCGATGGGACAGCATGCCGCGTTCAGAATGCTGATTTTGATGATTACTTCTATTGCATCAGTGGGACATGTCAGGTAAGTGGCAGTTTTTTAACTGAATTTGAACGAATAAAGACAGTAAAGAAAACTTTTCCTTGCTTTTCTTATGATGACAGTGAAGTTAACTCTTTTATTCATACGGCCCAATGTTATGAAACAAGGAAAATTAATTAATTCATACATTGTAGGGTTAAATCTTTAACGCCATCTCGTTCATATTCTAATACTGTAGTCTGTAGATATAGGCAAATCATGTTTCGAATGCTGACATTTTTAATTTTTCAGAAATTTTCCTGCAACAGCTCGTCAGAAAACTTCTACCGAATTGATCCAATGTTTTGTCCCGAGAGCTTTACCCCAGCTGATAGATTGAGCAATAGCATTCAACAAGAGAATGGACGAGATTATAAAAGCCTCAATATTTTACAAAACATTCATACCACCAGTCGTAAACTGGAGAATGTGACTCAAAACTCTGGTAACTGTTACAGATTTTCGTATGTAGCCATCGTTAATGCTTTCTTTTCAGTGCTTTACAACTTTCCAGAACGGAGACGCTTTCCCGAATCAAACTTTTACAAAGCTGATACATACGGTAGATGGAGAGCTCGGCAGTTTGAGCCGGAAAAATACGACAAGCTATCGCAGCTACGATCTCGGAAAAATCAGTGGGATGTCAAGTCCGGGTGCCACTTTAGCTGCATGGAAAAATCTAAGGGAATTCAAATTGTTGCCTCGAAGATGGATATCCGAACGAGCATTCAACTATGCACTCCAAATACAATCGTTTGTTCTTTTACTCAACAAGTAGATTCTCCTGTTTATCACGATTTGAACCATTATATTCTTATTTTCAGGCTTGCGACAAGGTCGCCACAACTTACGAGTACGCGACAAGGTTATGCAAACGATATCAGCTAAAGGTACGTGGCCTCTCCGGCATCGGTATGCAAATTGCTCCTAGCGTGGAGGATCCGGATCGAAGTTGTCGCATTGCATGCCAGGATAATTTCATTCGACATCGGTTTTACCTTGTTAATGGGGAGCAGGGGCATTTTCCGTTCGGTGCTCGATGCAACCATGACGAACCGAACCGATATTGTGTCAATGGAAAGTGTTTGGTGAGTGAAGGTGATGCATTTTTCTACAACGAAGGATACATGTTTTTTTTTTCGTTTCACAGCGATTTGGAGAAGACGACACGCCTGTCAACGAATCATACAATAGCTTAGCACATCTTCGAACGAAACGAAATGTAGGAAGGGTTAGAAGACATTTCGAATACTTTTCCCCGGTTAACGTAACCGAACGCATTAGTCAAGCGTATCTCGAAAACTTGATAGCTAATATCGATTTTACAAGGACCACTGGTAAAGCGATACAACTGTTTATGCCATAGTTTTTCTAACTGTTGATTATTTATTTTAGGAGACATTCTCGAGGATAACATCGATTTCAGAAATCCAATCTATTTCATTCCATGAAAAAGGAATATGAAGTCAAACATTTAGGCATTTCAATGGGAAACTTTTGTAAACTATTTATTTACTAGATATATAACCATTGATATATAAATTTGCAATTTGTATAAATCATTATCTGGATCAGCGTGTGTTCAAATTATTTTTTTCACAAGCCTTCTATACACCCAAACGAAGGATGTAAGATTTGCTTATAATTATGAGGGATTCATAATCGCAGGATGTTAACTAGTGGAGACCACATGAACGGAGGATGCGACATACCGAGCTGCGGTGCAATGCATTTTTTTCGACACTCATCCGCATAAACGCGAACCATCACTGGACCTTAACTTTAACTAAAATGATTATCGAACTTTACATGAACGTTTGTGCTATAAAGTTTTAACCTTGTGCATTATGTTTTTTTTTTAGTGGACCTTACAAATAATGGGTTGTTAAAGGGGGAGTACACTTTGATTTTTCAAGTAAATGCATTTTTTTTGGCTTAAAATGTTCCTGGGGATGTATACTTTAATTTAGAAAAGACTCCAAGTCCGCCAGAATATTCCTTACCGCTTTACGAAGCGACATGTACCGGCGTGCTGAGAGAGAGATTTTATCTTTAAACGCGTTTATCTCGAAACGGGATTTTTCAAACAGGCGTGGGAAATAACTCTAACCAGTTATCATCAAATTTGGATATCGCCTAGGTTTTCTTGTTCAGAATTAAATTCTGCTTAGAAATACGTATCCACATTTTCGATTTTGTCAAAAATGGATTTTTAATCCACGATTTTGTAAGCATTTTTAGGGTGAAAAATGGACTTTTTTTTCTAAGGCCACAAGTTCTGAAAAAATTAATTAAAAAAAAAATCGGAATACGTATTTCTAACCCAAATTTCATTACTAATCAGGATTTTTGTTCGATTTATGTTCCAGGATCACATGGAAAGGAGTATTTTCCCACGCCGTTTTCCGACTTCCGCGCGAGGACGCCCGCGCGACCTGGTGCACCGGCCACGGGGAGACGCCAATCGAGTTCAAAAAAAATACAAATTGTAGTTCGAAGGATGACTAATAAATGGGTTATAACGTATTTGCCCTCCCTGAGTGTTTTATTGCTTACAAAAATTAACGAAAATGCTTTACTTTTTGGACGTTCAAATCAAAGATGAATACTAAGATGAAACGATGAAACTGTTCGAAGAAAAACTTTCAATTTAAGTGTCCTCTTTCACGGTCCCTTTCATCCAATGAATACCTCCAGTATGCAAGGTAATTTTGTGGTGTTGCTGCCCCCTCGGTAGAGATGACATTTTGCGCAGCCCAGTGGCAGGCGCGTAGGCAACATGTTATACGGTGACAGCGGGCCCAGCACAGCAAAATAAATGATTTGAGCCCGGGACATGCTGCCTACTGTCAAACGCTGCTGTTGGTATAGGCCTTGTCACTGGCCTGATTTTGCGCGCTTTTTTATCAAAACAATCACACCAAAATCAGAGATGTCCCATTTTTTAATTACTCGATTAGGGGAGCTAATTAGGTGATTTTTGCAAATGTAATCGTACTTACACTACCGATGATAAGTTTAAGAACACCCCAAAAAACCATGCAAATATCCTGATGAATGTGGGCGTCTTAGTGGAATACCTGTATAATGAGAGAGAGAGAGAAGGATTAGTATTTTCCATTTAATTCCACTACTTTATTTGCTTATCCTTGACAGATACGCGTATGTCGTCTACAACGTGCGGACTTCTTCAGTGTCTTGTCGAGTATTAGTACAAGACACTGAAGAAGTCTGCACGTTGTAGACGAAATACGCGTATCTGTCAAGGATAAGCAAATAAAGCAGTGGAATTAAATGGAAAATACTAATCCTTCTCTCTCTCATTATACATGCAAATATTTTTTGTTCAATTTTCGATCTCCAAAGGTTATTTGAATGGTATGAATGGTATAGCATAAGGGAAGGTCAATTAATTATGTCACGCAAATTTGGCCCATTTTCAACCCCCTCTCTCCTTTGTCACATTTTTATATGGACCTTAATTGTTTTTTGTAAGGCTCGTCACAGTTTCCAAAACCCCCCTCCCCCTTAAAATGTGTCACATAATTAATGGACGATCCCTAAGTGTTCTACTGCTACTTTTATTTCAAAATTTGGCCAACCCAATTCTGAGAAAATAAGTCACGATTCTCTAGAGTATATTTTGAAAAATATTGTAACTTTGGGTGAACTTTTAACACATAAAATTTGAAAATTATATTGAACAATCTGTCTACGAGGAAAGTTCCATTCAATACCTTTCAAATGATCTAAAGAGAACGAAAATTGGACGTAGCATAACAGAGATATGAACATAACAAATGTCATGTTTTTTTTTTGGGGTGTCCTTAAACTTATGTTCGGGAGTGTATTTAAAATAGTTCCAGCAAAGATGAATACTAAGATGAAACTGTCGGGAGAAAAACTTTCTATTTTAGTGTCCTCTTTCAAGGTAATTTTTTGGTTTTGCTGCCCCCTTGGTAGAGATGAAATTTTGCGCTCATTTTGATCAAAACAAACACACCAAAATCAGAGGTGTCCCATTTTTTAATTACTCGATTAACAACTAAAGGCCTGTATAGAGATCGAAGCGAAGCGAAAACCTCATACAAAATACTAAATTTTTCACCAGCGTGAAAAACGCAATTGGCTAATTTTTCACTTCGCTTTGAACTGTAAACAGATACGATCCAGCGAAATCTAATGTTGTGGATAGCATCTTTTTCGCTTACGTTTATTTTTTTTCGCGCATGCAGCGCTCGCGAAAAGAGCAGCAGCTAAGCGAAAAGTTGACGTTTCGGAAGAGCGTATCTGTCAGATTTTCACTTCACCGGAGGTGTAAACTGATCGATTTCGTTTCACATGAACTGTAAACTGCGAAAAAAGGAAACTGAAAAATGTTTGTGGAACATTTTTTCACAACCTTTTTCGCTAGCGAAATTTCATGATTTTTCGCGTGCTTCTAATTTCGTTTCACTTCGATCTGTATACTAGGCTTAATCAATTAATTATGTTTTGTTGTTTTTGATATCATCCACATACAGAGGGCCAGTCACTTTCGAATGTATGGGAATGGTAGGAAACCATTTGGAAATGCATGAAAATTTTCAGTTTTTATTCGTTATCGTCTTTATGGGCATTACTATCAACAATCAATACGAAACTAACGATTTTAAATTGGCTCACCACTTTAGTAGCCTATTGGTCCCAAGCAAACGATTAACGTACCCTATTCTAGTTGAAATTCTATTACTACACTATGTTTGTTTTGATTCGCTATGAAAGTTTGACAGATAACATCAGGGGTGTGTGGATTTATGCAGAACATGCAGGGGTGAGTGAAATAGCTTGGGACTGCTTGGGACCGTTGTTTTGGTACTGAGTGAGCCAAAAATAATAATGATTTTCTTCGGGACCTACTAGTCTTAGAGTTACCTCTATGTTACTATGGTGATAAAATAAACACTCGTTTATTTGTTTCCTTCTGTGAAAGCATGTTTAGTCACAAATCGTGGATTTTCTGATATTCTCCATACTGCAAAAAAGATTTTCCTACCACTGAAGGGGCGACATCTCTCGGATCTTCAGTATAGCTACTACTCACATCATATAATTAATTATTTTTTGTTCGCTGTGCTGCAATTTTTCCACCAATGAGAGTGCAGCAAATGTTTGAAACGATCGGTGATGATCCTCTGGAGTAGTTAATCCTTATATCGGCATGATATAACCAATTAAAGCCTGGTGCGCAGTTGAAAAGTAATGACGTTTTTACGTGCTACGGGATAGGACACGGAATGCTAAAGAAATTTCTTTTAATTAGCATTTGTTGACCCAGTACGCAGTTCAAAAGAAATCGGTAAAGGAAAGATCGATAACATTAGTATCGTGATCGATATGAAGGTGGCGCATTCTGAATGCAATTTCATTTTCCTTGCGGAATAATGGTCTGACCAATTATTCCGTTAGGTAATTTTAACGTTTGTTATAAAAATGATGTTTTGGATGCATTTTAACAACATAAAAATGGATAATTGTTGATTTTAAAATTAGACGACACCTACATATGATCTCAAAATTTAGCAAAAGACACCTCCCTATAGCTGTCAAATTTACTTTTGGGAATATTCCTCAAACATTACTTTTCCGTTTTCTTTTCAGCTGCGTACCAGGCTTTTCAAATATTTTACTTTTCGGTTCGTTAATCGATTAATCGATTATTCGAATGAAAATCGGCCATCACTAGATGAATGTGAAACGTCATTTAAAATATATGGACCGTACATAAATAATGATACAATTTGAAAGAGACCGGGGCTTATCACAAATTACGTCCACACGGTAACTGAGAAATTTTGTTCGAGCCTCCATGTCTGTTCTCTGTGTTGGCGTCTTGCAGTGAAACTTTTCCAAGCTTTCGCCACCTACATTTCGAAGTGAGAACTACTAGAAGGAGGATAGTTTCCAAATTTTCCAAGTAAAACAGACGCTCTTTGGGGCGGTCCATAAAGAAAAACTAATAATTTCCCGTGGAAACTTTTGCTTGAATCGTGTAAGAAAACGTGTTTGAAAACTATTTGTTATTATTTCGGTATGGATCGGAGATGTTTTCATGGCAAATTATGCATAACAAGTTTGCACCAACAGCAAGAGGTTACCTCCTGCGCAGCTGCATTTTTCAGAAAATGGTAAATATGTGTGATTTTCACTAAGATGAAAGTGGAAATTAAGTGAATTTACTTAGGAAAGGTTGTATCAAAGATGAATACTAAGATGAAACTGTCGAAAGAAAAACTTTCTATTTTAGTGTCCTCTTTCACGGTCCCTTTCATCCAATGAATACCCCCAGTATGCAAGGTAATTTAATGGTTTAGCTGCCCCCTCGGCAGAGATGAAATTTTGCGTGCCTTTTTATCAAAACAATCACACCAAAATCAGCGATGTCCCATTTTTTAATTATTCGATTAACAACTAATCGAATATTTTTTGTTCGTTGTCCTGTCATTTTTGCACCAATGAGAGTGCTAAACTTGTTTGAAACGATCGGTAATGATCCTCTGAAGAAGTTAATGCGTATATCGGCATGATATAACCGATTACAAATTATTTACTGTTCGGTTCGTTAATCGATAAATCGATTATACGAATGAAAATCGGCCATCACTAGATGAATGTGAAACGTCATTTCAAATATAAGGACCGTACATAAATAATGAAACAATTTGAAAGGGACCGGGGCTAATCATAAATTACGTCCCCACGGTAACTGGAATAAACACGAGTGTTCACCGGTTGTATCATGCTGGTGGTAATAGAGAATTGGACGCCAATATTCAATAAATGTTCATTTTGGCCTTTTTTAAGCAAACATATTGATACTCACAATTTTCGACGGAAAACGCACCGGAACTTGATGTACTCAACACGCACCGTACTATAAAATGGTGCTAGATGGTCTCCAAAGTGATAACAAGATGGGAAATCATCTTTATTTTGAGTAATTGAGCAATTTACTTCTGTTTAAATCATATTTACGATGCAGCCAACGAACCGAAAAGTAAACTATTTATAATCGGTTAGATCATGCCGATATAAGCATTAACATCTCCACAAGATCATGACCGATCGTTTCAAACATGTGCTGCACTCTCATTGGTGGAAAAATAGCAGCACAGCGAACAAAAAATAATCGATTAGTTGTTAATCGAGTAATTAAAAAATGGGACATCTCTGATTTTGGTGTGATTGTTTTGATAAAAATGAGCGCAAAATTTCATCTCTTCCGAGGGGGCAGCAAAACCACAAAATTACCTTGAATACGGGGGGTTCTCATTGGATGAAAGGGACCGTGAAAGAAGACACTAAAATAGAAAATTTTTGTTCCGACAGTTTCATCTTAGTATTCATCTTTGATGCAGCATTGATGGAGCCTCGGATGGAGCCGCGAAATGAAATGAATATATCTAATGAAAGTTCAACTGGAAAAGTCAAAGATGCACATCAGTCTGATCGTAAAAACGTTTTCTTCTTCAATTGGGTTCTTTAAGGGTATTGAGGTAAATGCATATTCGTAATCTGCATTAGAAATGGAATCCAAACCCAAAATTTCATCAATTTTGGTACACTGGAACTATTTAAAATAAGAATGATTACATTTGCAAAAATCAACTTATTAGCGCCCCTCGGTGTCACTTTGTATGGGAGCGAGCTGTCAGTTTGTCAGTTTAGTGTCAAACAGTGATGTTATTATTTTGCTTTAAATATTGATTTAAAAATCGAGATGAAAGTGTGTGGGTTCGAAAAAAATATCGCTGTGCTCAGAAAACGAAGCTCTTTCAGATGATGTATAAAAACCGATGTATTTTTCAAAGTTAAAGAACCCAATTCGAATGTTATATTGGAAGGATTTTACACAGGTTTGATGAAAATTATGATTTAACGCTAATTTTTACGAATTTTATATGCAGTCTGTCAACAGTATCATCATCATGCAGTGGCGACATCTGCGTTGAGCTTTTACGGCAATCTTTCAATAGCTTAATTTGAACCAAATTGAGAAATTAGGGGAATCGGCTCTAATGTTGGCCTATTGGCACAGAGAACAGACATGGAGGCTCGAACAAAATTTCTCTAAAAACATGTGTAAAGATTCCTATTCGACTTAAGCGCCACTAACGGCAACTTCCCCACTTACACTAGACACTAAGTGCTAGTAGCGCCAAGTGGCAATTTTCAACAGAAAATTTATCGATACTAGTGCCAAATTGGTCGAAAGTGGAAAATTTATAGAGAAAATCATGAGATGCTAACACCACGTAACGGCGACGTTCCCACTTATTTTACACAAGTTTCTGATCGAACTTGAACGTCTGTTCTCTGTGCTATTGGCGTCTTGCAGTGAAACTTTTCCAAGCTTTCGCCTCCTACATTTCGAAGTGAGAACTACTAGAAGGAGGATAGTTTCCAAATTTTCCAAGTAAAACAGACGATTTTTGGGGCAAATCGGTCCATAAAGAAAAACTAATAATTTCTCGTGGAAAATTTTGCTTGAATCGTGTAAGAAAACGTGTTTGAAAACTAATTGTTTTTATTTCGGTATGGATCGGAGAGGTTTTCATGGAAAATAATGCATAACAAGTTTGCACCCTCTGCGAGAGGTTACCTCCTGCGCAGCTGAATTTTTACTTAAGTTAATTTACTTATGAAAGGTTGTATCATGCTGGTGGTAATAGAGAATTGGTTGTATAGGACGCCATTATTCAATAAATGTTCATTTTGGCATTTTTTAAGCAAACATATTGATACTCACAATTTTCGACGGAAAACGCACCGGAACTTGATTTACTCAACACGCACCATACTATAAAATGGTACTAGATCGCAGAGAACAGACGTTCAAGTTCGGACAGAAACTTGTGTAAAATAAGTGGGAACGTCGCCGTTACGTGGTGTTAGCATCTCCTGATTTTCACTATAAATTTTCCACTTTCGACCAATTTGGCGCTAGTAATGATAAATTTTCTGTTGAAAATTGCCACTTGGCGCTACTAGCACTTAGTGTCTAGTGTAATTTGTGCAACGCCAGCGCCATCATGTTGTCAAAGAGGGTTTTTAAGTGGGGAAGTCGCCGTTAATGGCGCTTAAGTCGAATAGAAATCTTTACACAAATTTTTAGAGAAATTTTGTTCGAGCCTCCATGTTTGTTCTCTGTGACTAGATGGTCTTCAAAGTGATAACAAGATGACAAATCATCTTTATTTTGAGTAATTGAGCAATTTACTTCTGTTTACATCATATTTACAATGCAGCATTGATGGAGCCGCGAAATGAAATGAATATATCTAATGAAAGTTCAACTGGAAAAGTCAAATATGCATATCAGTCTAATCGTAAAAACGTTTTCTTCTTCAATTCGAATGTTATATTGGAAGGATTTTACACAGGCTTGATGAAAATTATGATTTAACCGAGGGGGACGACTCTATCTACGATGCAGGAAATATTGTGTTATGATATGGCTAGCTGCGCGTATGCTGAGTAGATAGAAAGAAGATTTATCACGATTTTGAAGATTTCCTGCAAAAAGATGATGCTCGATGCAAGTAGATGCGAGAAATGAAAGAAGATTTTTCGAAGATTTATTCGCTAGTGTGAGATTTTTTGAGCATCTAGAATTGAGATTTAGATGTGTCGCCCCCCTCGGATTTAACGCTAATTTTCACGAATTTTATATGCAGTCTGTCAACATTATCATCATCATGCAGTGGCGACATCTGCGTTGAGCTTTTACGGCAATCTTCCAATGGATCTAAGATTGGGCCCATCGCTAAAAATCTGCTATTAATCAATTTTATCTAGATGAACGCGTCATTGGGACGGTAATGATGGATATTTTTGGTCGCTATTAAAAATTTAGTCGATTACTGATTTTTTTTTTCTATGGGCCCAAACTGGGATCAATTAAACAATAGAGTTAGAATATTGTTTTTGATTCTAAAAACCAGTTGAATTTAAGAAGCACACGAAACATAAAGGTGATTGAATTTCTGTTCGATTGCAATACTCTCAAATTTAATCTAGTGAGAATAAGAAATCCTCTGAAAAATTCTAATGGAAATGTTTGCTCAGATTTTGACAGTTCATTTGGCTCAAAACATTCGCACCGCCTATCTCTCCCTCTGAGTATTTCCATAGAGGCAACTCTTAGACCAGAAGATCCCGAAGAAACGTGCTCAACTTTTTGACTCAGCTCTGGTACTATCTTCGGTCCCCAGCTAATCGATGCACCCCTCGAAACATAAGAAAATCCACGAACTCCTCATTTTATCTGCCAAAATTTCATAGCGAATCAAAACAAACATAGTATAGTACTAGAATTTAGACTAGAATGGGATACGCTTATAGATGTGATGTACTTGGGACCAATAGGCTAGCCAAGTAGGGAGCCAATTTAAAATCGTTAGTTTCCACCGGTTGGTATTTCTATGTGTGACCATTTATACATTTCATTTGATACATGTTCATTACCGTTTTTGTACGGCGTCTGCTTATTAGTTGGCTTATACATTTCATGAATAATCAGCAATAGTAATTTGCCAAATGGTATAGGGGGATTTCTATTCGTGTAGTCTGTCCTAGGGATTAAGTTATATTTTTCCCTATTTTTTCTTCATTTCATACGCTGTGCAGCATGATTCGTAAAATAAACATTTGAAAGGTTCCCGATTGTAGCCCTCTAATTGTGAGAAGTGCAACCTTGTTGATTCTTGCTGGTGTGTGTATCAGTTTTCGATTCTCTGTTTCTCCGCTCGTTTGTTCTTCATGGAAACGCACACTAGCCAGCAACAGCAAACACTCCGCCACTTTTCTCATTTTGCCTGTCTCTGGCCTGCTGCCCACCGTCACCAGTTCAAACGGTTTTATTTTCTTTCGCCGTAAGCACGTCATCGGTCTTTTCAGTCAGTTGGCCGTTGATGTGATATTTACAGCTTTTGAACTTGGTTAGTTCAATTTTTGTTTTAAGTCGTGTAATTTTTTATATTTTCCTGTGATTTCTGTAAAGCTAAAACAATGGCCACACATTTTCGCATCGCAAGAACCGACGAGGTAAGTTGGAAGACAGGAAATCGGTGGGATAAAAGGCGAGCACCTGCCTTGATTTTTCTTCAACCGACGCCATTGGAATTTAAAGGGACTTCATGCTGTAGTTTCTTTTTGTTCCTTCGCCACGCCAATGAATGGCGGTTATGGCCGATGAACCATTTTGGATTGGAATATTGTTGAATTTTTAGCTGACTAGTAATCTTTACAATGGCTAAGATAATTTGAACTCCTTATCTGCGAAGGATATTTTTCGAGGATTATTGCACATTTTGCACCACTTTACTGCCGTATACGCATAACTGTCCCATGTTCTATGCAATCCTTATGCACCGTGGGACTCTTATGCGTATAACGGCAGTTAAGACCCCTGAGCAAACAATAATTGCACAATAATATTTTCTCAAAGGCCAGAAAATTAAAAAAAAAATCGACTTATTTAAAAGCAGTAGCAGCTTATGAACAGTATTGGCAAGCTACACTCATGCTTGGCATACACAGTTTTGGTCACAAACTGCTCATTTTCTAATAACTTTGCACACAGTTGACGAAATATTGTTCTTTTTGAAGCAGTAGATAGAATAGAGTTTAGACTTATTAAAGATACATAAAAAAAAGATTTTAATTCTAGTAATAAACTGTATTTGTTTTTGCGTTGTAAAAATTAAGTGAGAAAATGCTCGCTGCACATCTCGTTCTTTAAGTATAAAAATTCATTGGTGTTGATTCAAGTGTTAGGATTTACCTAATCTTTGCATATCTATAGTAAACTATGATCCTAATCTATCATTACTTTAAAGAAAAACAAATTTCAACAACTGAGTGAAAAGTTATTAACAATTGAGCAGTTGGTGTGTACAACTGTGCATAACTACACTAATGAATTCAAGCTCTAGCACACTTTAAGAAAATCTACTGTGTACTTACTTTTAGCGCAGGAGTCTAATGTGATGCGAAATCTGCAATACACAATACAAGTTAAGATTAAGATGTTTTCAGACTAAGTTATTTTTCCCCCATTTTCTATCAGAATGACGCCGTCCGTATTCAGGCAAAGAAAGTGCTCAATGAACCAGCTAACGTGAAAAGAGCCGTATTAGGAGAGCTTGGAAATAAGGTGCTGAAAAATGTTGCTCATGGCAAAGGCAAAGAATTCAAATCTAATGATGCAATTTTCAAAAACGTCAAGCCTCGTGTCGATACGCACTGGAAGAAAACGGATGCTCCGGCATCGGTTTGCTCGGTTTCGAAACCGGTAACACGTTCCGAGTCTCTCAAAAGTCTAAACAACATAGGAATTGTAAAGAATACCAAAACGACCAACACCGTTCAACCCAAGGTGGTCCATTTGACAAAGGGTGCAGAAGTAAAAAAGGTAAAGGTGGTAAATCTGAAGCGAGAGGAGAGCCGCCTGACCCGACGTTCGCTCACCAAGCTAAAGCAAATAAAAAAACAAGCCGAGGTATCTTCTGCCTCGTCGTCAGCGAGGAATTCTGACGAGGAAGATGATTACAAAATAGAGGTAAGACATCCCATTCTTTCAAGCAGGTAAATGGAAAAAAAATCTTAAATTTTCTATTTGTGCAGAAACCGGACTCACCTGGCACGCATTCCCATAAACTAATTGAGGAAGTTGAGAACATTGACATCAACGATGCTTGGAATCCGATGTTGGTTTCGGAATACGTAAATGACATCTACAACTATTTGAACAATCTGGAAGAAACGTTTGCAATTAGGGATAACTTCCTCGAGGGCCATAAGCAGGTTAGTATTCATGTCTCAATGCTGATTTTATTGACTAATTACGCGTTTACAGATAAATCATAAAATGCGCACCATCCTCATTGATTGGATCAATGAAGTTCAATATCAGTACAAGCTTGAAATCGATACCTATCACATGACCGTTTCAATTATCGACAGGTATCTTCAGGTAAGTGTTTTTAGCTGTTTCCATGAACGTTGTTATTAATGGTGCTTACATTAATTCGTTTTTAGCTAATAACCGATACTCCCAAGAAAGAATTGCAACTAGTCGGTGTAACAGCCATGTTTATTGCCTCCAAGTACGAGGAACTGTTCCCACCGGACATTGATGACTTTGTCTACATAACCGATGAAACGTACAAGAAGAAACAGATTCTCGAAATGGAGAAGCGAATCGTCAAAGTTCTGGATTTCCACCTAGGGAAGCCCTTACCGACACATTTTTTGAGACGTTTCTCCAAGGCAGCCAAAGCCGCCGACAAGAATCACCAGTGTGCCAAGTATTTGATTGAGATGGCCAGTATCGATTACGACACTGCGCACTACAAACCGTCTGAGGTAAGGATTTAGGATTATTGTCATAAGGCAGCCGTTATTTTTGACTTTAGCATTGCTTTCTTATCTGTGCTACTTTCCTTGTTTCTATGCATGTGTTTGTGTGTGTGTTGTTTCCTTTTGAAATCTGTTCGTTTAAATGTCTCACGCACAGCTGAATGAAATGCATTGCCCAACATGCGGTGAGACGTTTTGAAATGTTTCGATCATGTGATCAGAGCAATATTTCAATGCATTTAGTTTTGTTTTTCATGCTGATGCATTGCATTTTTATGATGTGGGATGCACCGATATCCACTGTTTGCTCAATTTGCAGATAATTCAAGCTGAACAATGCATTTGGTCCTAAGTAACATTGATCGATTCTCTTCATCTAGGGTAGAATGAACACTTGTTCAACTATCTTGTAGCTTCCAACCATGGCTATTTTTCTTCTCGCTTGAGTGAATTAATTTACCATTAATTGATTCATTCAATATGCACTTTCTTCCAAAACACAATGTTTTGCAAACGTTTTCACAAATTTCATAGAAACAGTTAAAAAATAATACTTCAAGGAAAGAGTAAATGTCGTAATACTTTCTGATTTCACTTAAGTGCCCTCATTGTTACTCCAATTTATATGTATTTTAATGTTTGGGTATTACAGTTTTTTTTTTGTAAATTTATTTATTTGTTAAGGCTCAATCGAATAAACTTTACAGAGCCAAATTATCTTTTACGTTATACATTATTAATGTCTTAAATCTAAAGTTAAAGGAATTGAACCGAGTACTCGCGGTAATCTCGAGGTTAGTGGAGATTTACAGTTTCATGGATGGGGAAAGGGAGAAGGAGGTTTGAAATATAATTTACGATACAATTATTTCATTATTCCTAAAACATGAACTCATTCCTATTCAACTTGATATGAGTTTCATAAACGTCCAGATCGCGTCCAGCCAAAACATCCCGAACTGGAACATTAGGTTGTCTACCTCGAGCCCGAAGGGAATCGTACAGCTCAGATCTGACTCCACGATGCTCAACATGGCAAAACATGCTGTGTTTTCGGCATTGCACTGCAGAAAAATTGCGTTGACCTTATCTTATCATGCATGACAAGATAAAGCCAGTGCTTTTTTCTAGACGGCCACGCAAAAAAAAAATACAATTTTATGTATTTTAAAAAGATTGGCATGGCCCAATTTGGATTTTTTAGATTTAATCCTAAATAGAACCTAGAATATTTAATACTCTAATACAGCCTTTCTCAATCTATGGGTCGCGAGTTGCCCTCAGGGGTGGATCGCAGAAATTCAGACATCCTAAGCCACATTCCAAATATATTTTTTTAAATTTAATGCAACATTCAGCTGGGTTCAATTTTATGGTAATTCAAATTGAGGTACAATAAAGCTGCAAAACTATTGTTTATTTTTAATTGTTTTTTTTTTTAGATTTCATGGCAACTTTGGTATTTTAAACCAGTTAGGCCATTTTGACTTATTTGGGCCATTTTTGGCGTTTTAAAGTTATTGTAAGTGTATTTTATCGCGATTAAAGGCCAAATTTTTGCGTTAGTAAGATAATTTTGGCCATTAAAGTTGGCTCGCAGTCGGTTTCTTTTTCAAACCATTTAATCGTTTGAGGTTTATCGCGCACGGGCGGGATCCCTACGTTGTGTTGATTGTTATGATAATTATAAAGACCTCCTGCCATGGCGGAGGCATACAAGACAGTGTTGTATTGTTTATTTGTATTGCTTTGACGAATTGTTGCAACGGGTAGGGTTAGTTATACATATAAATGACATTGCACAAACAGAGGTACTTTGTCGTTTCGATGAATCTTTCAGTGTTTATACCATCATTTCAACACATTTAAGGCCGTTTGTCATTTGTTCTCCCTGCTTGAGCACCAATGCTACCGACGCCAGGGAGGCAGCTCCCACACCTGACCCTAGCTATCGACCCATCAACTCAAGTACCGGGGACCAACGGCTTTACTTCCCGGGCTTAGCTACAACTTGCTGATAACTCAAATCTGTATTTCTTATGCATCACGAACTAGATCGGGCAGGACTTGTGACTGTTTTTCAGTGAATGTAAAATGCATTCACTGAAAAACAGTAGTCGCTTCTATTCGCTCTGGTTCGTCATGCATAAGCATTGGCGTAGCTAGAAAATTTATCTGGAGGGGACCTTGCACTTTTTTAATTTTGCAAAACTACGGGTTATTAAAAACTCACTCAAATTGCGTCCAAGGCAACTTATTTTTGGGTGCATTTTTTTCTGTGACCAATGACATTGAGGCTTACTATTATTTTAATGGTGAAACAATAAATTTGATTAAATTTATTCCATAACAACGATTGTGACCTTTGAACAAGCAATGATCGTTTGTTCATGTTTTTTTGTAATAAAACCACAGTCCGGATCTTGTAAATGTAAGCATCTCAAACTTAAGAAAATTCTCAGGGTTAGGTTTCATTTCATGAATTTTGTAACTAGATTTTTTTATTGAGCAGTCAAATCTCAGACATAGGAACCAAAATTAAATTCTAGTAGTTTGAATTTTATAATTTTATAAAATTCTGGCTGTTTCAAGGTAAAGTGCACACAGAATAAAATTTAATACATTTAGGACGTAGGAAAATGTTCAAGATGCACAATTTTTTGACGTAGGACTACGTCAGTGATTTCTACACTTACTACACTTTGTGAAAACTGAAAATGGAACATGTAACGAAATTATGAAAGATTTTGAACGTTAATAACTCAGCTGCTCCTGGACCAATTTCAATAATTTTATCACCAATCGATCAGAAATATTTCTACGCATCGATAGCAATGCTGCTGATTTTTAACAAGAAATTATTTAAAAAATGGGAAGTGTCAAGAATTGTTAAAAAGCGTCGAAATCACTAACAAATCCACTAATTACGTACATGCATATACTGCAGATGTACAATCCTTTACATTGTTAATGTTAAAATAGAAATAGTTTTGTGATCCCAAACCCATATGTTATCAAGATTTTGTAACTAATAAAAAAAGGATATTCAAAAAAAAAAAGAAATTTATACATATTAGGTATATGCAGAAATTGAAATTTCTGCCCGGAATTTAGCTGCTGGAGTGTAAATTTGTAACAATATAGCTAGAAAACAACAAGACACGGGTCTTCCCTATAGAGAATGTACAAATATGGCCATAAAATCAAGATTCCATCTGATTCCATTAGCTGGAAAACTTTTGAATACTTCCTGATCAACCTACAACCTACCAAATATCCAGTGAACTTTACTAATATGTTGGACTATATGGAGATCTTTCGAATATTTCCTGATGTCTAGGAAGGATATTTGAAAGCATATCCTGTAACTTATGCAACGTTTCCTGAACATCTACAAAACTTAGGAATTACAAAATTTCCTCAACTTCTACGAAGTTCCCTGAATTTATTCCACATTCCATATTTTTTTCCATTTCTTTAAATTCTACAAAGATCTCTGAACATCTTTGCACTTCTGGAAAAAACACCTAAGACATCTACAAATATTCTTGAACACCGAGAAAGTTCATTGAATTTAGCGAAGTTCCCAAAACCTACAAGAAGTTCATGGAGCTTTTTTGGAGTAAGATCTCTGAAAAACTGCAACGAAGTTCCCTAAACTGAGGTACAGATCCCTGAAGTTCTTAGAAGTTTATTGAACTATTTTTAGATCTTTTAAAAAAATCCCTGAACTTTTTCAAAATGCTACGAAATTCGAAAATCTTCTACAAAGTTTGCTGTTGAATTTCCACAACTATTCTAAGTCCATGAGGCTAAAAAAACTGAAATTATTTAGAGGTTCCCGGTTTAATAATGAGCTTCTCTAAAATAAAATAATGTTCCTTTAACTTCTATGAAGCTCCTCAAATTTAAATGAATTCTCTACTTCTACGCAGTTTTCAGTACTTTTCGAAGTTCCTTTTTTCTACGAATTTTTCTGAAGGTCTTTGAATTTCCCAGAATATCTACCAAGTTTACTTAATTTCTACGATCTTCCCTGAACTTCTATTTGAAGTTTTACGAAGTTTCCACAAGTTAAAGAAAAATTCCTGGGCTCATGGCCAATTTGTAGTTCAGACTCTACGTCTACGTCTTATTGCCATCGATTTGGTATAAGATAATTTCTCAATTTTTTTCTTATAGTCCAGAACATAACAAAAGTTATCAACATAAAGGACTTTAAAAAATCTTCGTTGGTGGTCCAATTTTATTAATCACTGTTAAATAGTAGCATTGAACTTAACAAGTATGAAAAAATACCGGTGAGTCAAAACAAACAAAAAACAAACACCAAAAATTCTGGAGGGGGCCTGGCACCCCATTAGTTACGCCAATGTGCATCAGAGATACGAATTTGACTTTTTAGCTTAAAACAAAACCTACAAAAGCTTTATACGTCATTTTCCGGAATGCTGGTGATGAAAAAAGTTAGAGGCAAATCAATGTAAATGATTTTTCATGCCTGGTTGTGAGTAGTGCTGTGACGGGTCTAAATTATCGATACGATAACCGATATTTGAAAATCCGATATCCACGATAATCGAGATTCGATATCGGTTTTCCGATTTCTCGCAAATAAAAGTCCACTCCTGCACAAAATCATACCGGCTGGTAGAGAAAGCATTCCTTTATTTAATGGTATAGTTTTTTTTTGTGCGAGCGTTTATTCGCGAAAAATTGACTGCTAAGGTCATTGTTTACAAAAACAGTTTCGCCCTTTTGAAATGTTGGCGAAGAGATGCTGTATGGATGGAAGAGTAATACAAACTTGAAACCCGGGGTAGGGCTACGAATGACTTAAGCAGGAAGATGATCATATTCCAAGCACGGAGTTTGTTTAAAAAAAAAAATCGAGAACCTTTCCAAAAGATGCTCAACGACGTGACGTGATGAATGGGATTCTATGACACTACCTCGAATGTCTCCAAAAGCTGTAAATAATTAATTCTTTGGATATACGATAAAGAAGGGAATATTCGAGGTAATGCCCATTCGGGATAATAACGTGTGGAATGATGTTATATATTTGTAATCGGTATCGGTATCGGTATAGTAAAGTGAAACTAATCAGAGAGTTTTATCATCAAAAACGACCCCCTGTTTGGAATGGGGTCTCATCCTGCTTAAGATGTTCAGAACCCTAGGATAAAAAGTATATAATGGTGGTCCACCATGTAAGTCAATTGTTTTCGAGAGATTTCAGGTCACCTTCCAATATCATCCTCATCATAAAAAATGAAATCATCAAAATTATTGTTTATTTTAGTAATAAATTGTTTGCAGAACAGTTTACAATATAGTTTTTTATTTGCTTACTTCCAGATCGCCGCTGCTGCACTGTACATGTCGTTGAGCTTGTTCCCACTGGCCAATAGCACCGAGCCCAAGGTATGGACTAAAACCCTCGAACATTACACACACTACACAGTGGAACATTTGACACCGATCATTCAGAGGCTGGCAAAAACAGTGAAGAATGCTCCCCTCATGAAAGTTCAATCCGTTTATTCCAAGTATCAGTCGAGCAAATTTGAGAGGATTTCTATTCAGCCCGAGTTGCAGGGATCGTTGATGGACAATTTGATAGACGGTGAACTGAAGCCTTAAATGTAGTTAATTTCTTTGCATAAATGTATTTATCTACCATTTTATTGAAGACAAGTGACTTTATTTGCCGAATGACAATAGGTATCTACAATTTATATCCTCTAAATAGTTGTTTTTTACCCGCGTAGTGTATTGATTATTCGTATAAGAAGATTTTAAGAATCCTAAAACGCATTAAAATTTTGGTTAGGAATTCTCGGTTCGGTAAATTGGATGAATCCATGCGCGAATATTGTTTGAACCAATACGAAGATATTGTATAATCATCCTGTATAAAAAGACAATTCAATAAACGGATCAACGATTTTGGATACAGCAGTCGATCTATCTGTTTGATAAAAATATGATAAGTTAGAATAAATAATGATGACAACCAGTGATGCTACCTATACAGATTTATCTGTAACCATACAGATTTTTTCAATATTTTGGTACAGATATCTGTATATACGATTGTGCTACATTTCCCCGAATCCCATACAAACATAGGGTCGGGTGGGGCAAGAGTGCCACCCCCTATAATTTTGAAAATAAACATGTTTTCAATGATAATTCACCGATGAAACTATGAATGGTGTTCCTATGCAGCATTATAGAAAGTTATGTCCAAAATGAAGTATTACAAAACTTGCAAAAAATTATTTTGTACTGATAGGGGAAATGACGGCTTCGGCATGCCTCACTATTTTCGGCAACCCAAATTGAAACACTATTTTCACTGGATTTTCTTACGAAAACACTTCGCTGAATGCATGCAAACGATTCTTAATGCTTTCAGCTTCAATTTGACTACATTTTTACCACTGAGAAAAAGCAATCTATCAAGGTTTTCTTTAAATGAAACACACGCACTACAAATTGTAGCTGATTTCGAGTTGCCGATAATAGAACAGCAGATTTACATGCAGTTCAAATGGAACGGTTGACGAAGAAAAACTGGTTGCCGATAATACTCGCTCTCACTAGAGAAGATTGGAGCTTTGTGAAAGCGTTTCAAAACAGTATTTGACAATTCTTTCGACTGAAATTGTTAAAGCAGCTGGCAGCAAAAGATTGTAAACAAACCAATACTGCATATGTGTGCGTTCCTTAGAGAAAAAGGCTATAGAAAGAAGGTCGCTGCTTAGCTTGCCGAGAATACGTAAATTCCCCTATGTCAAAAATCGATATTACTTATAATAATAAGACATAATAAAATAAGGATTTAGGAAGGTGGACACATTGGTCAAATTTGGATTTTCATAGATAATCCTAAAAAGGACCTTGATTATTTAATAGTCTTGTAGAGCCTCAAGTCCGCACTCGATCACAATTTGTATTGTAATTAATCAACACTCAATGGGTAATGTATGAAATTTAAGATGAATTTGAACAAAGGGAACTTGGAGTGTAGAGTGCACTGTCCACCGGTTGATGCTGTAGTCTGGCCAAGTAAGGGGGTTAGGGTCTAATGATGTCTGAATGGACAATACAGTGCAGGTGGATATTCCCCCTTATTCTGCGAGTCACGTGACTCTCTGTCACCGGTGAGGTGACAATTGTCACCTCGTGTGAGGTGACTCTCCATGTAAATCAAATGGAGAGTCACCTCACACGAGGTGACTATTGTCACCTCACCGGTGAGAGAGAGTCACGTGACTCGCAGAATAAGGGGGATTATATTTTATATTCTCTATATTATGCTGTTTGAATCAGTTTTAGGTTTTTGGGTTAACAGAGGCAGAACGCGGTTGGACCGCTTAGGAAAAGCATAATGTTCACACTTGAAGGGTTCAGAGCGGCTGAGCTGTTCGGTGGTAGTTTGACCTTTCTTTCAAAACCAATTTGACTCTAGAATATTTTCAAACTTGTTCTGCATTATTCACATGTTGCAATTCTAGAAAATAGATCGATATAAAGTAGCTTAAAACAATAAATAGAAATGCCAAAATCTCACCGAGTAGTTCAGCTGTCAATATTAAGAAAATCAATCAATCAATTTGTATAGTACGACATTCTAGACTGACGATCATAAAGCTATTGATATAGTTAGAAGCGATTTGATAAACCATGTTGTCATGTTAATAGTTAAAAAAAATACTACATGAAACCAATGCGACCCTCATAATTTATAATTGGGATTGAGCCTACGATCTTCTGCTCAGTACGCCCCTCATATCACTACAAACCCCTGCTTCGATCGTTGTGGTTCTCAGCTTTGCAGCGCTCGGTCGTTGTTATCTACTCTAATCAACCGAAATTATCAATGTTTTCATACATTTCGACATTGTAGCCGTTTGGGTTTGGGGCGCGCTCATTCACTCATTGGACACATCCCGTAAAATCTCACTCGTTAAATAATCAACACTTCGCTCTGGTCTCGTTTGCTGTTTATGCTCCACTAGAACCAACCGCTCTTATATGGCCCTGATTTTATTTAAAGCAAGTGCACATAGGTATATGGTCGTCCACAGTCCTGATTCAATATCGTTATATTCACTCGACTTGTTGTTAGTTAATATATATGAAAACTGTCACCCATTATGGTCATTATCTCATTTAAAAATGTAGATCTAATTAGGGGTCGTTCTCGGCTTGAACCAGCAGATTTCGTATACAATGCTGACAGAGCAAACCAACAATCGGTCACTTTATCACTTATCGTCTTTGACGACAAGGATGGAAAAGAGTGGAGGAGGGTAAAGATGAGGATAAATCAAGCCGAGTGTGAATTAAGCTGTGCATATGAACTTCTTCGTTTATGTGCATATAGGTAAATCTTAAGTAAGTTATACTTTCCCGGGTGATATGGTGCGCAGTTGCTTAATAACAGCAAAGGGTAGTTGTCGGACCAATTCACTCAATGTGAAAGCTGATAAGTATCGTTTTTTGTATCACAGTGGGGTAAATTGATCTTGCTGCGCAGTATGTGATTGTAAATAATGGTTTCAGTATATTTCCAAATTAAAATATAATTCAATGCATCCGGTTATTATTTCAGTCAAGTAATGGCGTGATTTGTTTCAAGTGTGGTATTTATATTATAGCATACGTCCAGGATGAATTTACTGAAAATAAATATTATGTTTAAAAAATAAAAGCTGTAAAAACGTATTAACTACCCTAATTACTCAATATTTTTTCATAACCGGATTGACTAAGAAGTAAAAATAAAGGTAAATTTGCCTTGTTAAATTAGAAGAGATTATTTCGAGGGGCACGCAATTTACAGGACCGGTGCGTCGGAGTTAACATGCAAAAATGTAATTCAAGTTGTAAGGATAGTAATGAAAATGATGTTGGCGTACTTAATGTTATTAAAAGTACTAAAAATGCAATGAATGGTACTGAAAAGGTAGTTAGAACGGACTATTCGGAAGAAAAACTGTAATTAAATGACATGAACAATAGTTAACCGACAACAGGCAGTAATTAACGTAGTTAAAACTTTAATAAATGTAATCAATTTAATGACAGCTCCAGCCTGCGTCGATGCACAGAAAACAAACGTTGTGGCTGGAACAAAATTTCTCTAAAAACTTGTGTAAAGATTCCTATTCGACTGAAGGGCCATCAACGTTGACTTCCCCACTTAAAATCCTCTTTGGCAACATGATGGCGCTGGCGTTGCAAAACTTACACTAGACACTAAGTGCTGGTAGCGCCAAGTGGCAATTTTCAACAGATAATTTATCAATACTAGCGCCCAATTGGTCGAAAGTGATAAATTTATAGAGGAAATCAGGAGATGCTAGCGGTACGTAACGGCGACGTTTCCACTTAACTTTACACAAGTTTCTGATCGAACTTGGACGTCTGTTCTCTGTGCTTGTAGTTCCTAGTGGTAATTTTTAACCGAAAATGTATCGATACTAGCGCCAAATTGGTCGAAAGTGGAAAATGTATAGAGGAAATCAGGAGATGCTAGCGCTACGTAACGGCGCTTTTCTTGCCCAAGACGCCATTTTGAAAATATGTTAATTACTACTGCCATCTACAGAGCATCTTTTACTCAAAATTCAGTTAAAACCGATGAAATAGCTTTAAAAAACTATAAATTGGTAATGAATGATAAAAAGTACCGAAAAATGCAATTCAAATTACTGGGTAAGTGCTTATATTGATTACTTTTAAAAAATTTGTCCGGAAAAAAAAGTTTACTGAATAAACAGCTATGTACAACATTTTACTGTATTTTCATCAAATTATTTACCGAACATGAAATGTAAAAACTGCAAAGCTCTATGCTACAAAAAAAAAACTCGTACAAATAATTTGCTTGGAGAAGCATGGCTACCAAAGAGATTTCCGGTGCTATTTATTGGGTTACAGTCACAGACTTTGAGGCTCAAACTAAATTTCTTTAAAAACTAGTGTAAAGATTCCTATTTGATTTAAAACCCTCTTTGACAACCTGATGGCGCTGGTAATACAGGAAGTATTACAACAAAGGTAATTGCTATTAGATATTTTGCAAACAGTGACAGATAGCGGACATGAAGAACCAGTGGAGGTGCCGGGCAAAGGTGTTTATCCTTGACAAATGGTAAGTTACAAATTCGCTGTAGTCGCTGTCGTAATGGCCGTCGTAGTCGTAGGCAGTACCGTTGGTATATTTAAAATTAACCACCAACCGCTGAAAATATGAATATCGCGTATTTCTGTTGTTCATTACATGCCAAGTGAAATTCGAGAGCGTAATTTCATTTGAATAGCTTGTTCAACCAGGTCTTAAACAATCGTCTCGTCGGTCATAGCTTGTTATGATTACCTGTACCATGCGTAAAGAGAAAATCGAAACATTTAACGTCGCGTGAAAATGGATTTTAATGAAGGCCTCTTTCGTAGCTTTTAGTTTAAGGATTTCAAAGATCGTCGGTTGCAGTGGCTTGCTTACTGAGCAGAAAAACCTGGTCCCAGATCATTTCATATTAAAAATGTATGGTAAGATCGTTTGTTTATCGTGTATTTTGTAAAGCTTTTCGTTGTCGTCGATGCCGGGTCTGAATGGTTATAAAAACTTGAGTAACGCTATAATGTGATATGAGGGGCTCGGTGGCCTTAGAACAACCGGTTTTGCTTACTGAGCAGAACATCATGAGTCTAATCTCAAGCCCATCCACATTCAAGATTTGTCAATCGTTTTATTTGTTAACATGACTACATGGTAATAACAGCAACTCGATGATTAAAAAGGAGCTTGTCTGCCTAGTGGCAAACGTTTTTGCTTACTGAGCAGAAGACCGTGGGTTCAATCCCAAGCTCCTTCGCGTTATATGATTGTTAGGACATCAATTCAGCTTATCGTTTACCAAAACGAACCCTGCTGTAAACCCAACCCTATTACCCAATATCCCAGTGACAACGTGATGGCGCTGGCGTTGCACAACTTACACTAGACACTAAGTGCCGGTAGCGCCGAGTTGTAATTTTTAACAGAAATTTTATCGATTCGAGCGTCAAATTGGTCGAAAGTGGAAAATTTATAGAGGAAATCATGAGATGCGTTCCCACTTATCTTTACACAATTTTCTGGTGGAAGTTGGACGTCTGTTCTATGTATTACAGAGTAGTTAGCAAGCATGGGCAAGTTCATTCACTCGTGCGAGCACCACAGAAACAAAATAGCCATCCTCACCTACAAACAGATTGCCGAACGAGTGTTAATTATTCCAACCAAGTGACTCTGCAGGTAGACTCGGAACTGACTGCAGTAGAAGAAATGAAGGCTAACTGAAAGCAAAGATAACATATCAAGAAGACTGACAACTCTTCCATTTTCTCATACGTCCGGTATGAGACAGGCAGAATCGCGTCATCTGCCGCTCAAAGGTAAATGCTCCGAACAAATTGGATAACAAAGGTTCCATCCTCAGAACAGAATGAAGGTTTGTGTATTTGCTCATTTTTCTATGCGTTGCTTCCATCTTTGCTCGAGCGCAGCGCTACTGTGTCTGTCGCTTGGATTCAGGCAAAGTTGTCAGACTTCTTGATATGTTCACTGAAAGGCAGCCGAACATTTTTCTCTATTGAGGGAGGAGAGCCCGATTCAATGCGTAAAAACCGAACGCTAACGATTTAAATAGCCGAGTGAGATATTTTTTGGTTCAGTGATTTAAATCAGTTGAATCGGCCCCAGCAGGTTTTCAGCATTTCCGTGACGCTTATGTGTATGTGTATAATACTTTTCTCCATGTTAATACCAGTTTGAATGTGTCAATTTATGTTTAATCTAGGAAATAAAAAATGGATATTTCTGCAAAATTCTCAATCAGCAGAATGCAATCGTCAAAGCACAGACAAACAGACATTACACTCACCATCATATTCTTCGCAAATAAGGTTTTAGTTGGGAATGTGCTTGTATTTGGCATGGTGGCGCCACTGAAGCGTTAAGCAAGCCACTACATTTTGAACTTATCAGTGATGCCAGTTCTATTTAAGGTCAATTTATTTAGTGGCGCCTGTGGTGTAGTGGTAAGCGTGATTACCTCCCACCCCAGCAGGCCTGGGTTCAATCCCAGTCGGCACCACCGGGATGTTCTGAGGCATAACATTCCTTCGGAAGGGAAGTAAAGCCGTCGGTAGCATTGGTGCTCAGCACGGAAAACAAAATCAAGGAAAAAAGGTCAATTTAGTAGATGTCAGTTCTTGAGAATGATAAGGGGACCAAGGCATCTCACTGAATACATGACTCGATTTGGTCATTCTCCTTTTTGAAAAACTTTCCTAATGTTCTACCACAGACAAACAGACATAACACATTGAATATTCCTCATTGTAAAACATCGTCGCTAAAACATTACCGCCATCTGTTGAGTACACTGTGGTGGGTAGTACGCTGAACAGATGGCGGTAGTGTGTAAACGTCAAACGCAAGAGAACTGACTATGCGCGCCACAGGTGGCGGTACTACCAACTACGATACTTTTAATTTGACCGTTAAATGCTTGTTCGATGAACAACTTGCGAGTGTTATGTCTGTTTGTCTGTGGTTCTACTATACCCATGCGTTTTTCAGTGGTCTTATTGCAACAAAGTATACTTTAAACACCTAACTTGAAGATGCATGAGAAAGATTTAGAATTGAGATTTTATGAAATTATTTAATGATAAAAGTCTGATGCGCTGGCCGACAAAATTGACTCATTACTAGACCACGTACTAATCTGACGAATATATATTACATATTATTTGCTATGTACACATTAAAGTGATGATCGGTGTTAGAAAGGGCATTCATTAGTGATGCATTACCACGTTTAAAAACTAGTTTCCAGCAAAATAGAAATTACATTAAATAATCAAAACAAATCCTTAAAAAGGACTGAGCTTCTGAGAATTTCTCCAACGGATTCGTATTTCTGCAAAATTCAATCAATTCTATAGATCTACGGAAATTTCGTAGAACCTCAGAGAACAGACGTTCAAGTTCGGTCAGAAACTTGTGTAAAATAAGTGGGAACGTCGCCGTTACGTGGTGTTAGCATCTCCTGATTTTCTCTAAAAGTTTCCACTTTCGACCAATTTGGCGCTAGTATCGATAAATTTTCTGTTGAAAATTGCCACTTGGCGCTACTAGCACTTAGTGTCTAGTGTAATTTGAACAACGCCAGCGCCATCATGTTGTCAAAGAGGGTTTTTAAGTGGGGAAGTCGCCGTTAGTGGCGCTTAAGTCGAATAGGAATCTTTACACAAGTTTTTAGAGAAATTTTGTTCGAGCCTCCATGTCTGTTCTCTGTGGGAAAAGCAACTAGTGAACAAATTGCATGAGCGAGGGATGCTTCGGTTGTAAAACCGTGCTTGGGAATGTGTATGATAGAGGGTGTTAGTGCAATTTTGCTTAACGATATTTTTTGAAAATTTTTCTTCTTAGTATTATGTCTGTTTGTCTGTGGTAAAAAGCTCAGCATGTAAAAATTGTATGTGAGGAATCATCAAAAACAAAAAAGTTTGGTTAACCCGACGGTCCAGCCAACCGGTGGAAACTAACGATTTTAAATTAGCTCACTACTTGAATAGCCTATTGGTCCCAAGCAAATCGATTAACGTACCCCATTCTAATACTTCACTATGTGTGTTTTGATTCGCTATGAAAGTTTGAGAAGGGGTTCGTGGATTTTCATATGTTTCGAGGGGTGTATCGATTAGCTTGAGACTGAAGAGAGTACCAAAGCTGAGCCAAAAAGTTGATAACGTTTCTTCGGGACCTTCTTGACCTTCTTGTCCCATTGAGTTACCTCAATGGTGCAGCTCTGTATAGTGCATACGAGTGCACTCAGTTTTTGACAGTTCATATTGGCTCCGAATTGACCAGCATATTGAGTGAGTCTGCAGTTCCCAGGGATTCACTTATGATTGATCTCGACTAGCTAACTTTCCATTCCTACACTTTCCAGCCCAATGATCTATTTTACAGTGTTTGTTTCATCGGGGTAAATAAACGGCTTTGGCAATACCTGAGGATTCATCATGTTTCAGAGCATCGATTGGCCAAAGTTATGCACTCAAGGACTTCATTTAACCTGACGATAATATGTTTATATATTTCCGAAACCGTCATTCATCTTAGTCACAGAGAACAGACATTGACGCTCGAACAAAATTTCTCTAAAAACTAGTGTAAAGATTCCTATTCGACTGAAGCGACTAACGGAAACACAATTTACACTGGAAACTGCAAAAAGATGATGCGCGCGGCAAGAAGATGCGAAAACTGATAGAAGATTTTTCGAAGATTCATTCGCTAGTGAGAGATATTTCGAATTGAGGTTTAGATGTGTCACCTCCCACTCAAAAAAAAAAAAAATGTCAAAAATGTCTGGATTTCTTCTACCCTCTGGTGGGTTGTGAACTATAGACTGAGAAACACTTATGTATAGAATACAAAGGCATGAGGTATTTCAAATGACTAAATTCCATTATTGTATATTGAAAATAAGGTCTGAATGTTTAGAGTGTCTAATATTTTGTGATATGTACTGTTCTAAGCTTAATTTGTGGAGGGCGATTTCAATATCTGTGTTATGTTTTGTACAAAATACTGATTTTTAGAAGAATCAATGAGCTAATGCATGATTACTTGACCAGAAATTATTTGCGAAACCTTCAGATGAAAATAAATCACTTTACAAACTTTTACGTCTAATTTTGAAATTTTATAGTATAGTATAGCAAAAATAATTAAATCCACCATGCGTCTCCTCCAATCTGCAATGTGATGATAAACGGCTAAGCTTACTAGTTACATTTGATACCATTATGCTTCTGCTTCTAAAACATCATTTCTATCGTCTATTACTATAAACACACATAATAATAGACCTCATAGTAAACGAACTGACAAATCGTACTAAAAATGTTCGTTTTGGATACAACATGGCGGCACATTGGCAGGTCTACTACCATTAGTGTTTATAGTCTATCTAAACCTACTGGTGCTTGGACGAAACACTCATGCTCATCTTATGATTGTCTTCATCGTCTTGCGCTTGTGATTGTGTTAAAAATTGATAAAACTCGCTCTTCCGCTCTTTTTTATGCAAATGCTTTTCCGCCACCTCCACCAGTTGCCACTAGATCAGAGAAGGTGGGAGGGGGGTGTTCTCTGGTTCCTGGTGTGCTTTGCTCGTACGTACACATACCTACATGCATCGCTCGTGTTGGTTGGTTCGCTCGCTCTTCGATCTCCATGCTCTCGAGTGTTTTCATTCATAAACAAACCACCGTAGAGTGTGGATTGGAACGAGCGTAGTTGCGCGATCGCGGTAGACGCGCGTGTCGTCGCACCCGCTCCGTGGCGGGGGTGGATCAGCCGTCGTCGTGTGTACGTTTCGTGCGTACTTCCGGACCGGCGCGACGACTCACCCGTGGAAGCAAGGAATACCCTATACACTGCGTGTGAATGTGAATGAAGGAGAATAAAGTGGTAGACATGCAGACGAAGATAATGGAACAAAAACAATCCTTTCGATTGTTGTGAATCTAAAGGAAGAACCTTGGTGAACCTATGATATGAAGATAAGGAATATAAGAAGGATAATGTGTTGCTAGAATGTATTTTTTTTTTCACTACACTACTATTACACGGTACGTATCCAATGCATCCAAAAGTGTTTATTGAAAGTAAGTGATGGGAAACAACTGAATTGTCATCGTCAGATTGAGAATGCTGTTCTAGTGAAGTGGAACAAGAAGGTGTGTGATACAAACTAAAAAATATTGCCATTTCTGAATACAAGTACCATCGCGAGTACCATCGACTCCAGGTCCGGATATTTGCTGGTTTGAATCATTGTTGCCACACAACATATGAATTCTAAAATGGTTATGAATTCAGAAGTTCTAAATTAACAACTGCTCGACGAACACTAACATGAGGGTTGGCTTCAGCTCGGGCAATTAACAGCCAAAAAGAAAAGAAAAGGAAAAGAACACTACACATCCTCTTTAAGTTTGAAATGTGAATGTTATGGCACTAAATTAAAAAAATTAAAACAAAAAACGAAGTGTACAATCCTTTGAGATTTTTCTTTTATCGTTTTTTGAAAAATCGGTGCTATTTGATTTTTTGGTGGTGGAGAGTTATTTCTACTGTAAGAGCCGTCACGAGAGAAGCTTCAATTGTTCAACGACTCGCGGGAAATCAAATCCAGAACAACATGTGAAAAGGGCATACAAGCTTTTTGTAAACAAACCTTTGTAGGCCCTTTTCTCACCAACCGAGGGTCACTCACGCAAACCAGCAATATCATCGGGAAGGGGAAAGTGTCCCCTACCCGGTGATGTTAAAGGTTTGCGTTGGTGTCATATGGGTGGCGAGAAAAGGGCATAAGAAGGTTTGTTTACAAAAAGCTTGTATGCCCTTTTCACATGTTGTTCTGGAAATGTGCAAGCGAGTCACGTGGATTGACAAAGAGTCATTTGTTGTGACATGACAGACGAAATAACGCCCATAATCATTAGTGAAGGAAGATTTTATTTTTATTCCGACGGCTGTTAGGTTTTGCACTGCAGGGCTCTCCATTTTCATCGGGTTCATAAACATACCTCTCAACGTCTCTGGTCATTGATTAGGGAAAACTTTTTCACTTTAAACTTACAGTAATCCCTCCATTTATGCAGTGGGTGGTACTGTCAACCCACCTCTATTTCTCGGCAGTCCTTTAACCAGTTGAGTTGTTGATGACTAGTTTCAGGTTGACACTAATCACATGCAAAAAATCAGCGTTATGGGTTGAAGGACACCCGAGAAGCAGCGGTGGATGGATGGTGCCACCCACCGGATAAATGGAGGGATTACTGTAATGCAATCCAGTTATCAGTATTTTAAGTTCAAATGGATAGAATTTCACATTGAACATACGCTTCCAAGTTTAGAGTAGTCAGGTGAGTCGTAATCCACCGCAGATAGACGACAATTACAGCTTTCAACAATGCCGTCGGATGTTGGAATTTTTTAAATGGAGAATTTTATGTTATACCTTATGATTTTTTTTACAGTTCTCTTATTTCAATCTTCTTTATTCCGACATGATGCTAGTGGGCTATATTATATTGCGATTCCGATACAATACTATTTATGGTAATCAGCTGTGCCAGTGGTGTAGTGGTAAGCGTGATAGCCTCTCATCCCAGCAGGCCTGGGTTCAATCCCAGTCGGCATAACATCACGCCTTCCTTCGGAAGGGAAGTAAAGCCGTTGTTCCCCGGTTCATGAGTTGATGGGTCGATAGGTAGGGTCCAGGTGTGGGAGCTGCCTCCCTGGCGTCGGTAGCATTGGTGCTCAGCACGGAAAACAAGATCGGCGGAAAACAAATCAAGGAAAAAAAAATATTTATGATTATCGTTTATAAAACACGGCGACAGCATCGAAAGTAACACAATGGAATTAATTCTCAATATATTCGCAAACAAATATCAAAGAACTTTTCACGAGTTCATCGTCTCCGTGTTCAGCGAAAATGTTCAAGTTACCCTTGAGAATACGTTTACTCAGCGTAGAAAAACAAGATCTTTTACAGTTAGAAAAAAGAAGGTATTTCAAGTTATGAGAAATCTGTAATAGGGGAAATGGATGTATTGTCGGCCTAAATGCCCTTAATTTGGACCCATACATCAATTCTGAAATCGACTAAGTTTTCAATAGCGACCAAAAATATCCATTAGTACCGTCCCAATGACGCGTTCATCTAGATAAAATTTATAAATAACAGACTTTTAGCGATGGGCCCAACCTTAGATCCATAGGCCAACATAAGAGACATTTTTCCTATATCACTGCATATCCAGTTTCTAACAATATACCAAAAGTATTTTCTAATAATTGAAGAAAAGTTAAATTAGCTATCATAATTAATTAAATTATTTATTTATATATTAACCGTTCATGTCATTCAAGGCGGTAATTAATTTAGTTGATTTCTGCCAAACTATGGACCTAGACCTGTGAAGATTTCGTACGAAAATATTGATCTTGAGATAGCTGCTTGTTGGTTAGGTATTTTATTCTTTCTTTTATTAAACATACATTCAGACTTGGGATGGTTCGTCTTTATTCACAGCAGTCTCTTGTAAGTACTACCATTTTGTTTCTCGTAAGAATGATGTGTAATAAATCCACACTTATATTTGATGCATTTTTCGTTTAGTTTTAAGTGGCCACCACAGGTGACGCACACGCGATGCGATGTGATGTGAACAACGCTATTAATAATAGTAAATAATACATCTCTTTCGAATTCGGCGCATCGTGTCGCGTGTCGCATCTTCTCTGGAGGCCTCCCAAAGTGTACCGTAAAACGGGAAAACTTGCAACAAGACGACATTTCCAATTATCTAAAAAATATCGATTTCATTCTTATTTACGTTTGTTAACGAAAAACATAGGAATGACGTTACCATACAAATGCCATTTACCGGAATATCTCACCTTCTATAGTGCAGGAAGCCAAAAATAGGTAAAGCGGATCAAAGTATTTTTCATTTACTTGTGTTCAATTTGTAGGGAATTTTCCACTCGCTTTCTAACCAAAAGTAAGTTAGTTGTACCCAAAAGTAGGTAAATAGGATTATACTCAACGTTGGGTTCCCACTCTTTACTACCCCTGTTGGGGTAGTAACTGACACACTAGTCAAAAGTAGGTCAAAGTGAATTGGTTGGGTACTTTTTTCTTACCGTGTATAAAGTACACCGTGATTTAAAATGACGTGTCCATCACTGAGAATTTTTTACAACTATGATCAGAGATGGCCAAGCGACTGTTAAGTGGAATTCTAGATAGAGCTGGAATTAGGGCGTAACAGCCTTTGTAAACAATGACTTTTAAAGATGATTAATAGGTACTCAAGGCATGTCCACGTAAACCAACATATCCGTCGGGTAGGGGAAGTCGTCCCCTACCCGATAGTGTTGTTGATTTGCGTTGGCGAGCCTTAACTTCCTAGAAATCATCGAAAGAAGTCATTGTTCACAAAAGCTGTTACGCCCTAATTCCAGCTCTATCTAGAATTGTTCTTTTTCGGGTGATTTAAAAAAACATCGGCAAATTATTTACAAATTTTGAGCTTTGTCAGCCCGCAAAACTTTTTCTTATCCTGCATCAGTTGAGATGATGATGATGATGATGGTCCCACCTTTTACCCCTACAAAGGTTCGAGATGGACGATTTAGCTTTAAGATAATTAAATATGATAATTTACACACTAGCGGAGTCCCACTTTTATATTTGACTTAAAGTAAGTACAGTACCAGTTATTATGGTTTTTAGACTGATTTGAAAATATTTGATAGTTGAAAACATATGTTCACACATCAAAGTATAAAGGGAATAGCAGGTAAATAAACCGATAATTCGATACGTCACCCTAGAATGCGCCCAATGTATGCTGAAAACGGTGTGAACATTTTGTGGTGTGACAAAATAATTTTGCTGGGAATCTAATTCGAGGCAAAATATGCAATATCATGCCGATGCAAGCATTAAACTTCTCCAGAGGATTGATTAGTTGTTAATCGCATCAGCTTCATCGATTGTTTGTAAACAAAGGTGCAACCGATAGCTACACCCTAAAAATTTTCGGTGTTCGGCGGTGTAGCACCGGTGTAGCTACACCGCAAAAACGAAAACGACATAAAAGAAAATGTGTTTTCTCCTGACTGTTTCATCTTAGTATTCTTCTTTGGGTATAGTGCCAAAGCTTACATTTGATACAATAAAATGATTATAGTTTTATCCCCATAGGCAGTATGCAATTTTTACTAAGGGGAGAATGGTATACAACGCACCCCCTGGGCAGAACGCACCAACTGACTTTCATTTGTGTTTTTCATGGCTTTTACGTAACTTTTTTGTTGTCTTATCAAGTAGCACTTCTAGCATAGCATCTGAACTCAAAATCCTGCATGATAAATCCTTGAATTGGATTAAAAATTCCAAGAAAAACTCAAAATAAAATGAAAAAGTGCGTCTTACCCCGGGGGTGCGTTATGTACTGTCCTCCCCAACATCACTTTGAACTAGCGAATCAAGTTTCCCGCACTCATCTTTTTGCAGCATTTTGTATTAATTTATTTGAGACAGAGTTTGTTTTGCTGGTAGTAGGTGATCATAATAATTATATTGAAGAAATTTACACGTAAAAAAAGTTTGCAACAAAAATACGCAAGTCCGCGGTATATTTCAGCACCTAGGGCAAGTGAGACCTATCGAAAATCCCTGATTAATCCTCCTACAGGCGAATAGAGCCTTTCTCGTGAAATATGATATATATACCCATTTTGGTCACCGAAATTTGCCGGAGTAATGAGTTAGTAGTGTAGAACATAATATGACTTAAATTGAAGTTGATGAGTAGAATCTTTTGCACTATCTGGTGATAAGGTTAGTTTAGGTCGCCGAGCTAGTAGTTTCAACAAATTGATGTTTGAAGTCATTGTTTAGAAAAGCAGTTACGGCTTGTTGACAATTGGTTCTTGAGCTAATTTTCCGCCACACTGTACTCGTATATTCCTATTTATTCGTTCCCTTACATACGTGGTGATAGCTCTACTGTGAATGCAATGACTAATTTTAACATTATGAGGTCAT